ACCTTCATCTTTTTCTCTTTTGGGACACCTTCTTGTCATTTCAGGGTGAGAAATCCCCCCAAAGGAGAATAAATGGTGTTGAATCGATGGTAAGAAATCTCGTTAGTCTTCCAAAAGTGACTATGGATCCAAACTTGGAGAAGTTGCGCACACCCTATAAATCTTCCTCCGCCAGTCTTCCTACAATGGTTGAGGGAGCGAAAAGTTTCAACTAAAGTTTTTAGTGTTGGATTTACTCGTTTCAGGAGCTATTCGAATAGTTATACATGTATCCCAAAGTCTTTGGGAAGATAATCAAACCATAAATGCCCAAAGAAAAAAGGTTCATTGCTTTCCATTCATCGGGATGATTTTTTATTAATTCCTTGATATGGGTCCAAGCAATTCCTTCCCCACTACCTTTATGTTGAATCCGGTCAGTTACCCATTTCTAATCTACCCCGCTAGTTTTGCCAATTCGTTCTTGAAAGGCTGACTCTTGATGTGCTTGATGTAAACCCGATCTATTCTGATTCATTCGCAATGCAGCAAAGCAGTATATTCTTCGATTATGGGTGCCATGTCTTCTTGGTTAAATGTGAAGCAGTTGTACCCCGGATTCAATAATTGTACTAGGGCTCTGATTAGGGGCTCATATGTTTTGACATAGAGTAAAAGTGCAATATCACCATACCGCTGGCAGAACTTCCTTTTATGGTCATTTTTCCAGCTATCCCAAATGCTTTGTAGTTCTTGCTTTAGGCTGACAGAAACATAGTCAACTAGATCTGACACAGATTTTTTTTTGCAGACTATCTCCCTTTTCTTTCTGAGTCTTTTCGGACCATAGTCGTACCTCGGCATTTTTCACCTCTTGCATTACAACTCATTTGTCCATTAATACAAATTATTGGTATGTGACAAACACTTTTTATGGATCAATTACCTCTTTTTATGATGCAAATGATAAAAAACAAACATGAAAGAATAATTGGTTAGTAAGATAAAAATAATAATGATATAAGTAAAATATGATAAATCGCATGATAAAAGTAAAAAACATCCTAAGTTTTGAAATAGAGTTTCGGGGTGGGCTCTAATTCCCTGTAGTCTCCCGGTTTAGGTTTTAAAAAAAAGGTACTTGAGTTGTCCTTGTTGGTGCCCCCTAGAGCTTGCCATACCCTCAATCCTAAGCCAATTACAAGCCTATGTGGACCAAATTAAACTCGAGAGGATACATTCCCTTATGTCTATACGGAGAATAAATTCACACGAAGACATAAAGTATATGAATCCCAAAGGTAACATGCTATGCCTATACGGAGAATAAATTCCCACGAAGGAGTCACTTTCACCTCCACTTAAGAAAAGGTTTGGAGCTCGAGTACAGAGCCTAAGATTGGAAATAATCTGAAATCATTAAAAAGTCAGTACAACTATTTATTTGGAAAATAATAAAAGGTAATTAATAAGGATAAAAAAAGTACATTAAAATTTAAACTTAAAATTTTCACTTAAGAAGACAACCGGAAATTAGTCTTAGCTTGGCTCACTTATAAGTCCCCAACAGAGTCGACAAGCTGTCGCAACTATATTTCGGGTTGGGCCCGAAATTGGGCTTCAACTTGAATAAATGGGTTAAAGCCACCGATCATTTAAAAAATAATATTTAGGTTGATCGTTCACCATCTTACTTGATCTGCATTTTACCAGAAATATGTCGGATTCGAGAGTCGGTTACAGTCAAGGAAGGATTAGCACCCTTGTATTGTCCTTTCAGTACTAATTTAATTTTCAGTAGTCTTAATTAAGATAATTGTAAGTTAAATTAAAAGGTAAAAATTCGATCCAAGTTGCATACCTTTAATTGATTTACGAGTACCCCTAAAAGGGCAAAAAGATGTTAAAAAAAGAAACATTGAATTAATCAAAAGAAGAAAAAAAAGAGACAAAAGTTAAATTATAATACTTTAAACAAAGCAGAAAAAAAGAAATATATACACATGCCGAGAAATAGAATTAACATAATGGAAAATTAAAATAAATAGAAAAAAAAAACAAATCACACATATTTAAAACACAAAGTAATAAAAAATAATGTAAAGAAAAAGTCAATTAAATTAAAAATAAAAAAAAATCAATTGCAAAATTAAACAAAGATAAAAATTACTAAAATAAAAATAAAAGAGATAATAAAAAAGAAAAATAAAAGAATGATTATTATCGAATTAATGACTCATTAAGTGTGGTAGTCTTTTAAATATAATTAAATAAAACATGAAATAAATAAATAAATAACCAAATTGAAAAATAAAATATAGTGAGGGTGAATTGAAAAGAAAAATCGGAATTAAAATCGAATTTAAGGTGCAAAACATGTTTTAAAAAGAAATCAGGGACCAGTTCTATATTTAGCCCTTACCCGATCAAAGACACGCGGATCCTGGGGTGAATACGGTCGGGTTTCGGGTAGGCTATAAAGCCCAGAAATCACAAACTAAATTCATTTTCACCCCTCAAAATGGATCAAAAGAAGAAAAAAAAGAGACAAAAGTTAAATTATAATACTTTAAACAAAGCAGAAAAAAAGAAATATATACACATGCCGAGAAATAGAATTAACATAATGGAAAATTAAAATAAATAGAAAAAAAAAACAAATCACACATATTTAAAACACAAAGTAATAAAAAATAATGTAAAGAAAAAGTCAATTAAATTAAAAATAAAAAAAAATCAATTGCAAAATTAAACAAAGATAAAAATTACTAAAATAAAAATAAAAGAGATAATAAAAAAAAAAAAAGAATGATTATTATCGAATTAATGACTCATTAAGTGTGGTAGTCTTTTAAATATAATTAAATAAAACATGAAATAAATAAATAAATAACCAAATTGAAAAATAAAATATAGTGAGGGTGAATTGAAAAGAAAAATCGGAATTAAAATCGAATTTAAGGTGCAAAACATGTTTTAAAAAGAAATCAGGGACTAGTTCTATATTTAGCCCTTACCCGATCAAAGACACGCGGATCCTGGGGTGAATACGGTCGGGTTTCGGGTAGGCTATAAAGCCCAGAAATCACAAACTAAATTCATTTTCACCCCTCAAAATGGATCAAAACCCCCCTTATGATTTTCTCTGAACATATTCATCATGCTCTTTATTTTATAAAGAACACTCCGCTAGGGTTCATGCAAACCCAGATTTCGGCCGTGCGTCGCCTCGTCGGCCGCCGTGGACTGGCACTGCCCTCTGTTCATATGCGGTGAAACCAAACTTTTTTTACACCATTCGAAAGCCCTTGTTCCTCTCTTTCCAAATCTTCGATTAGTTTTCACAAAAGAGCCTCATAGAGAACTAGATCTGAAAAAAATCTTTCGAAAAAAAAGTTCTTTTTTTCTTAGATCCTAGGCTTTTTTATTCTTATTTTTTAAATAAAAAACAAAACAAGCCCCAATATAACCATGTACAAATGAACCGAAAAAGAAAATGAGTACATTTTCTTATTTCTTTTCAAAGTTTACAAATGTTTTTTCCTTGATCTTCTATCCTTTTTTGTTTCGTTTTTTCCAGGGATTTATAGCATTAAGAGTCCTTCGTTCAACTTAGAGTTTCATTAGGATAGAAATACATGCTTTTGGTTGTTTTTTATTCCTATGAAATTACGTTGTTAGATTTATTGTTGTAGCTGTTGGAAAAAGTTGTTTCCCACTAGGGGATGGTTTCTTCAAATCGGCCAAACTCCACGGCGGTTGAGGCTATTGAAAAACCTAAGACCGGACTCTATTTTGGGTCGTTAGATTGGTTGTAGATCTAACGGCTCGGGATCATACGGTACTTTTTCTTGAATTAGAAACCCTAATTTGCTGGGTCAGACGAACTCGGGTCGGGTTGGTGTGCTGGGCTCCTGGCGGGTCGGTTTACTGGGTCAGGCTTGCCCGCCTTGTTGGGTTCCTTGCTAGGCCTCTTGGACTGTTGGACTTGAACCTATTTGGACCAAAATAAAAAAGGAAATTAATAAACTAAAAAGAAAATAAATAATAATATAATGAATAATAAAATATAATACATAAATATTTTATATAATATATATTTTCAAAATGTTTTAAATTTGTTTTTAAAAAATTATATTTTATATATATATATTCAAAACATTTTCAAAAACTATATATTATATATATTTTTAAAATATTTTCAAAAACTATATATTATATATATGTTTTCAAAATATTTTCATAAACTATATATTATATATATTTTCAAAATATTTTTAAAATATATATATTATATATATGTTTTCAAAACGTTTTAAAAAACTATTTATTATATATATGTTTTCAAAATTTTATAAAAAACTATATATTATATCTTATATATATTAAATAAAATCCCGGACAAAAATGAGTGACTACAATTACGTGGCAGGTTATAATATTAAGAGTAAACTACATGTTTAATACCTAAACTATCACTTTTGTTTTGTTTTTATACTAAACTTTCAATTTTTTTCAAAAATCATACCTAAAGTTTACTTTTTGTTTCGTTAAAAATTTAGGTACTAAAATGAAACAAAAAGTAAACACTATGTATTAAAATGAAACGAAAAGTAAACACTAGGTACTAAAATGAAATAAAAAGTAAATATTAGGTATGATTTTGAAAATAGAAAGTTTAGATACTAAAACGGAGCAAAGTGATACTTTATGTACTAAACACATAATTTACCCTAATATTAAAATAAGCCACGTAAGAAAAATTGAGTTAACGAAAAAATTTCAATGTATCAAATTTAGTAATCAAATCTAAAAAAATAAAAAAAATAAATGAGTAAAATAAGAGAGATTAAAGTTTGATGAGTAAATTTGTAATTTACCCTTACAAAAAAGGTAGGGCAAAATGCTTTGCGAAATTACAGCTTGTCAACGTTTAATGTAGTGGATAAACTGTGTTTTGTTTGAAGAAGAAAATCCCTCAAAAAATAAAATGGCAGCCGATCAACCTGGTAGACAAAGTTGGACCGAGAGAAAGCAGAAAGGCGCTTGCTATACTTGTGGAAAGCCAGGTCACTGGGCATCAGATTGCCCTTCCAACCACCGAACGGCGAGAGCTTCATCATCGTCGCCTCCTCCTGCGGTGTGGCTTGCACCGTTTGTGTTTCCCACAGCGTCGCCAACAATGGAAGAAGGTACTATTCTCGTAATTGTAAGTGCGGCAATGGCACCCAAGGCATAAGTTTCTACAAATGGTGTGATGACGTCAAGGCACCCATGTGCGAATGAGGTGCCGGAGCCTGCACCGTCAATATCCGAAGAGATGAAAACGGGAAGGAAACCAAGTACAATACTTTCCGAATTAGAACGGTATGCTTCTCTGCTCTGCTCTTCTCTTTCCAAGGTTTGGGTTTATAATCGGATAAAGTTCTTAACTTTATAGCAAAAGCATTTTAAACAAAAACTGGGTCCACTGGTTGAACAGAAAGTATGAGATTCAAGTGCATATTTTGTTTCTTTGTTCTTGGATTATATTTCCTTTTTCCCCTACGATTATACCAACAATTAAACAAATGTATGATTATACCAATCATGGGTTAAGGCATGAATGATGTATACAGATTTTTTTACTGATAAAGGGTTGCTATTCTTTACATTAGGGACATGGAGCCTTTGGTTTCTTGCTACTCGATACTGCTCCAAGTCCGGCGAATTCATGGCCGAGGTCTACGAAGATGGACAAAAGGCCACCAACATTGAGTCCCCAGTATTGTGGCCTGCCGAATATTAAGACTTGTCAAATATCTGCTGCTGGAAATGGATGTACGTATCCCTTGCAGTTTCTTTTTTTCTTCTTATCCCTTGCTTTATGATGTTATTCATTGCAGATTTTATGCCATTTTCGTATACTGGGAATGTTCTTAGAGGGATCGTATTCTCCGTGTCCATGCCGGGTATGGGTGTTCAACATGGATACTTATTGAGTTGGAACAACATAGATATATTTGTTTCCTCCGAATCTCTAGTCATCACTCTTAGTTTACCTTCTTCAACAGATATATATCTTATTTGATCCGGTATTTGTTTCTGAGATATCTCTGATAGTGGGTGATCAAGTATAATATTTCTTGTTTTCGCAGATGCTGAAGTTAATGAAGTACCACAAAATGCTCTCAGAAATGGTATGAAAACATTGGGTGTTCCTTTGCGGACTTCGAACCTCGAAACAGCATTCACTGCTATGGAGGAGGAAGGTGTAACAAATACAATCGTGAAGGAAGTTGGAACAGATCTTCAGAAAGACCGGGTCACTCGTGGAATGAATGAATGAATGCAGACCTTTTGTCGAGCACCTGGTGGAATCTATTCGGGTATATCGATAGTTGCAAGAATGGGGCCAACTCTCCAAGGTAATGGCAATCGTGCTGTGCATTCCATCCCAACAAATACATGAAAATGTTTAAATGAATATCTGGCATCAATGGAGATGCATTTGCTGCCTTTACGGACTCTGGAAGTTATCATCTCTAACCAGTCCATGAAGCGGCTTATTGTATTAAGGATGCACTCTGTCAAATTGAGAAGCTCGAGACGCATCTTCTAAAAACTGCAATGGATGTAGGACAAGCAAAGAGATGCATACAGGCTACATATCAAGAGCTGACAAAACTCCTTGAAACTTCCACAGGAGAAACAAGAGCAAATGCATTGCAACAAGGACAACAGTAAATGAGGTAAGAAGTCACCTTGAACATATGTTATAAGGCTATGTTATTTCAAGTGTGTGTGGATGACTAAAACAGGTACGTGTTAAATAGAAATATATGCATTTTTAAAGAAGAAAAAAGTGTCATGTATTTTGGAAGTTCTTTTGAGTGTTATGCCTGCCTACCTATGTTCAACCGTGTAAAGGACACGGAAGAAAGTAGAACTACTTCGATGAATCAGGGTGATGTCTGGCTGGCAGTAGGAAAAGATGAGGGAAACCTCGTTTAGATTAGAGGACAGCAGTCTTAGATGTGTTTAATGTAATGCTGCTATTATATTTCTGTTAGCATAACCAGTTTGCATAACTGAGCATGCGCTGATTTACTACGTCTAGGATCTGAGGTTTGTGTAACAGAAATATAGTATCAGTAGAACGATCAACATGACATACGACATGTAGTTCAACAGGGAAACACAAGTTGAAAGGCATCCCAAACTCTGTTAGTTGGGGAATGAGTGAAAATAATAGATGAACACAATGCCCATTGATAGAGCAGTCTATAATATTTACATAATGAAGAGATGCAAACAATGGCAGCAGAAGAAGAAAGGATAGACGGCAGCAGTTTTAGGCATGGCCAGACAGAGAATATTAGAATGGATTTACATTGTTAATTGACTCGTAAATGAAATTTTGTGCTAGGCCCCTCATAATGCTTCTATATTTGTATTCTAGACTCTAACAAATAACTAAACGGCCCTGGTAACTAGGGGTGAGCAAAACTTAACTCGACTCAAAAAACTGAAATTTCCAACTTGATTCGACTCGAATTAATTTCGAGTTGTAATGAGTCCGTGGACTTTGTATGATATATGTATATTATGTATGAAAAAAATATGAAGAAATATATATTTGTATTGTATATATGGTTCGAGAAAGTCACTTAAATTGGAATCAAATAATATTATAAATATTTTCAATTAAGTTTAAACAAAAATTTGAAAAATCGACTCGATTTGAGTTGAAATTTTTTTAAATTAAGTCCGAGTTGTAAAATAAGATTTATCAACACGAATAACTTGAAATATTTTCACTCGACTTGATTCAAAGTTCACTCTTACTGGTAACAAAATCTGATCATTAATAGACAACTTTAAAATTAACCAGAATAGTTGTTTTGGTTTCTATTGTTTTAAAGTACTTTAGTGTTCAATATTTTTTTATTATAAAAATAGTTATTTTTATGAAAACTATTACTATATATATTTCTGTATGATTTGATACAATATCAAATTAGTAAACAAAATTAATACATATATTAAAATAATATCAATAAAAAATAACACACATACTGACATGTAGGAAATACCCCTTAAGTTAAACTAGTATTCAACAAATTTAAAATAAGGGAAGAACTGACAAAAAAGAAAAGAAAATTAAAAAATAAATAGTAAAAGTGTTTAGCTAAAGATTAATATAATATGTTTTTAAATTAGTAAAATTTAAATTTAATATAAATTTAAAAACCGACCTACTAATTCAAATTGAATTAAATAATTAAAATATCATTTTTGTAATATTTTTTTAATTATCAAATTTAAATTAATTAACCAGTAAAATAAGTATCGATAATTATTAAAAAAACAAATACTTAGATTGAAAAAAGAAATCATTGTCACTTGAGTTGGCATCACGGGAGCCAGACCAAACACTTTGGGCAAAATTGGCCCATCGTGTGCGGTATATTTAATTCGCCTATTAGGCCATCCATATTTTTATTTGGAAATCTATAACAAATATTATATTGCAGGAAAACTCATCCCGTCGAGGAGATGAATTTATCCAAAAAAAAATATTTTTAAATAGATCTAGGTAAGAAGAACTCACGGAGTATGATAATTTAATATATTTTTAGTAATTTATCACGTCAATGTAATGAGTTTCAAAAAAAATATATATTTTTTAAAAGTCAATTAGTTTTTTTAATTTAAAATAATTAAAAAATAGTAAGATTTATAATGTCGCTGTGACGAGTTTTAAGCGAATTCTTTTTTAAAAAAGATGTTGACCAACGGGAAGCTTTTGAAATTTTTAAAAATATAGGAGTTGAAACTCATCATGTTGACATGAAGAGTTTTATCCAATTTTTTTTTAATTCAAAATTATTTATTACAAACTATTTTTTTTACAAAATAATAACATTTTTTAACTAGTATAATCACTAAAAATTTATTTATATTTTTGTAATTCTTAACGATGTCGTAGAGTGGTCAAATGATAATTGTGTGAGGCTTGTCGATTTCGTCGTGGTCGTCCGCCTTAAATGTCTTCATCTTCCTTTGCTTCTTCTTCAATAGGAGGTGTAATGATCATCACTCTACTTTGAGTTCCACTTTCAAAATACGATTATGAAGTATTTAAGGTATTTGCCGCCATCATTGACTTCATTTACTCGCATTGCTTGCTAAAATCAGTTACGTCCATGCTCCAACTCAATTCAGTTGGCTCTCCATTTAAGCATGATAAAGATGATAAAAACCATAATTGGTTTGATATGCAAAATATTCTGCAGAAGTAGAAGAAGAAGATGGTGTTGATGATGATTTCTTGCCCTTTGCATATTTGACCTCCATTTCTTCTCATTCGATCCTCTCTTCCGGTGTTGTTAAATATGATTTCTCATTTGTTTCATAATTTTAGAGGTAGAGAGATATTTAGAAATCAAAATCAACAGTTGCAATCTCAAAACACATAGGCACATATAAATGTCGTTCATTCCATTGTTGAATGTATACAACATGTTTCTCGGTCAATTCTCTTTATGCTTCCCATGTGTATAAATTCTATAAAGCTCGTCCATCTGAAATATTTGCGTAGAAATCATATGATTAGACGCAAATTGACGCAACACTTTATTTGCGACATGCATCTCAACAATCAGAAAATGAAGCTAAGGTGTTACAGCACACCACAACTCCAAGCCTTCAAAACATTCAAGTGGCAATAACCGATAAATCTCCAGCTAACAATATGGAATCCAACAAAACTGTAAACATTAATTAAATTAATTAATATAAATTATAAACAAATAAAATTTAAATAATTTACTAAAATAATATTTACTGCATGTCAACTAGCTATATCGATCCTCATTCGTATATCAATTTTTGTTTCACCCGAAAATTTTGTCTCAGTAATTTTATATCGCCATCTAAATAATATAATAAATAAAAATTTTAAAATTAAAAATAAATTTAAAATTTTAGTAAAAAATAAAGTTAGAAAATTACCTTCCAGCAGAGGAAACTCAATCGGAGCTGATGTAATTGGAATAAAAATGAGAACCGATAACACGCCCAGGAATGTAATAAGACTAGACAACCCACAACATTGACTTTTTGACCCCTTTCAAAGATTGTAATCTTGCAAAGTTCCCAGTATAAAAATGGAAAAATTATTGAACCCCAACTAATGTTACGACACTCTATGAAATTATTCAGTATCAGAAGATACTAAGTGTGCACCAAATTCTCAAATTTATCATGTAACAATATCCCTCCAATCAATTGGAGAAGATACAATCGAGTTGCAAATTTGACCTTCTCCTCGGTAAAGTCTTCATTCACTTGAAATTTATCCTCTAACCAATTTATTTGTATCCACATCTCGTCTAAGACATTTAGTGGTCGCCTCTTTCCCAAAACTTCCTCAACAATATCAAATGGGTTGTAATTGTTGTGCCTCATTAGTGTCGTATCATTAATCGGAACACCGAGTTAATAAATGACATCTTCCAACGTAATCCTCGTTTCACCACTTGAAAAATAAAAAGTATGCATTTTGGGCCTCCAACATCCAATCAACGCCGAAATCAGTGCCAAGTTCACCTTAAAATCATGAAGAAATGTGATTGGATATAACCCAAATTGTTGTAATAATCGGCTCATGTGGATCTTTAAGTGTCATTCTTCGCTCACAAATGCCTCGTTCTTCTTCCGGAGTGAGTTCAAGTGAGGAAATATGGACAGTATCAAGGCATAACATTCCATCTCAGTAGACATTTTTTGGAATTCTTCCAAAAAAATTCTCAAGAGTAATTTTTTTTCTTATTAACAAGACACAATAAAAATCCTAAACCCAAACCAAACGGATACTAATGACTAGATTTTTCAAAAATCCAGTAAAAATCATCACTTCAATGTGACGAGTTCCAATATGATCGTTGCTTCTGACTGTTGTTTCTGCCTGTTGTCCAACGGCTATAAACGGTTAATTGATTCTAAATTCTAAAAGAACTCGTACTCTCGACGTGATGAGTTTCATGAATTTTTTAAAATTTTTTTAAAAAGCTATTATAATTTAAAAAATTTATTACTGAATTTTCAAAAAGAATAATTTTCAACAGATTTTTCCTGCACTATAGTATTTACCATAGATCCCGAAATAAAATTATGTGATGCCTGATGGGACAATTAAATATACTGATTGGCATAATGGACCAATTTTACCAACAGTTTGAGCTATTCACGACAAGCCGAAAGGCTAAAACCACTTTCGGCCATTTTAAACACATCAAAGAAAATTTCAATTTCAGTGCCCATTTCTCATATTTCTAGGGTTTTTCTTACTTCAATGCTCTCTATAAATCAGCACACTGCTCCTTTTCCTCGGTACGCAAATCATGGAATATATAGGTTTATTGTTTTTTTATTTTTTGTGGATAAATAATAGTAATTGATTTGTGGAGCGAAATTCCAATGAGGAAGACATCCCAGAGATAGGAAGTGCCGTATGACACTAATCAGCAGCGGCAACACGCTGAGTAGAGTCCCCGTTTTCCCATCCGCCAACGTCAGCCCTCTGATTGGTGTTCTTCGGTGCTCCAGCATCGGCGGGAATCCACGCGGGGGTTCTCCTCTAAACCCTGTTACGTTGTGTGGGTGATTTGAAACGGGTCTCTTGGGGTACGCTTTTTAACAGTTGGATCCCCATTTTTTTCTAATTTGCAAGCGTTGTGTTTGGGTCCGATGCCACGTCGCCGGTAGCTAATAAACGAGAAAGCAGTGACCGGCGATGCTTTGATTGGACCGAAATAAGTCTCATGTTTCGCTTTCTGATAGGAACCTGTGGATCTGAACTTTTGGCGATCTAAAGAGCCGTTTTCGGCTATTACATTTTCATTTTCAATTGATTTTTGCAGTCGATGGTGATTTATTGTTGGAATTACCGACTGAATCATTCCCTTAAATTGATGTCAATTTGGATTCTGAGGTCCTGCATAACTTTGTTTTTTTGTTGTTTCCGTTCATGTTGTATAGATTGTAATGAATCTGTGGTTGTAGAGGCTTATGATGATCAAGAATTGCCTACATTGTCGGATATTCACTGTGACGACAATGAACATTACAAATCTGAGGCCTAAAGTTGCTGCTCATAACTTATTTCTTATGGTGTGTCTATCATAAATATTAATTTTAGTTTCAAGTTAAATGTGTTCCTTTGTCTCCTCCTCCAATGATGTGCCTCTGTTGTTCGTCGCCTCCGCTGCAACATCACCTGAAAATCGATAGCTATGACAGAGTTTCAGAATTCCAAACACTGTCTACTATTAGTGCTATGAAAACTTGACCCACCATATTTAAAGTGAATTTAATTGCCACTAGGAACCTTGGGCGTTTGGACACGGCAGAAATTTCAATGAATAGGAATAAATG